TCCTCCCAGCAACTCCATTAGATAGGTACAGTGGTATTTCCATTTTAAAGATGGGGAGACTAAAGCCGGAAGACGGCAAACGGCTTGCCAAACGAAAAAGCAGCAGAGCCAGGATTTGGACCCAAGTGATCCAAAGCCTGGGTTCTCTTGAACCCAGCCCAGCCCTTGGGGCCCATGACCCACCAAGGGCCAAAGCCTTGTCCCCTGCCCTGTGTCGGCTTCCTTCAGCCCTGGATGCTGGGATTGCTGCACTTCCGAGGGCTCAGTTTGTCAGGGACAAGATGGACTCTTGGGTGAGGGTGGCAATAAGGCCAAGGCCCCACCTCAGATGCCCATCGCAGGCCCAGCCCCTCGAGGTGGGGAAATAGCAAGTTCTCTTGATTCGCCCACTGTCTCTGCAGCTGCTGGGTGTTCACGGCTGCTTATGCTACGGAGATGGGGTGCTTACGTTAAAGGTAGAAAGTACAGCAAACCCAGAAGAGGCCAAGTCCAGCCTTCTCTAAGGCAGGCTTGGTTCCCTTCTCTTGTCCCTCTCGAAATCTGTCCAAACAATATCGTGCGCCTCTTTGGTCTGTTTCTCTGCAGCTGCCCCCTTCCCCCTGTGCCTCGGCCTGCCTCGAGGATCAGATTTCAGGCTTTTTTGTTCTTATTCCAACTGGCCACCCTCCCTGTCCCTCCTCCCCATGATGCTGTACTGCCGGCTCTGCAAACATGTGTACTGAGGGCACTCTGGCTGCCTCCTGCTATCCCCACTCTTCCAGAGCACAACTCCCATCTCCTTGATAGACCCATTTCTGTCTTTGAGCTCCATTCACCAGTGGCTGATGGTAAAATTGAAGCCCTAACCCCAATTTTTCTATTTTTCCAGTACCTCAAAGTTTCTCCAACAGATTTCAGGATAAAGGGGCATTCGGGTGTCAAAACAAAATCCATTTTGCCTAATCTTGATTAAAAATAGAGGTGTCACCCAACCTTAGGAGCAGGGTGGGAAATCCAGTGAGGAGATCTGAGGGTCATTAAAATCTAGCACATGAGAGCTGGGTGTCGCAACTCCAAAAAGAGTCCCTCCCTTAATAATGCCAGATCCACATTCCTTATCTTTAATTTCAAGTTCAAAAAGCTCTGAAAATCTACCTTATTTTTTGTAATTTTGGTGCCAAAATTTATCTGGGGGCGCAGTTTGACCTGCACTTAAATATTCATATTTCTTTACAAAAGAAACGGCTGCCTAGATTCCACTGGAGAGTTGTTGTGCGATAGTTGGTATATGTACCATGTTGCCTTCCTAAAGACCCAGATGTCCTGAATTTGTAAATGCATCTGAGCCCGGGGAATCTCAGATTCAAGACTGGGGGGTCTACAGCGGCCCTGAGCATGTGGTGTGTGACTAAAGAGTCTAAGAAATTTCAGTTTAGTGTCTCCTTTGTCTTCCAATGCCCTAAGAGATGGGGATGATTCCTTTCCCCACGTGCAGCTGAGGCTTGCGGGGGTTAAGTGCATTGCTCCTGACACACAGCCCTGTCAGTGTTGGTGCCTGGACTCGAATCCCAGTTCTGTCTGCCTCCAGTGCCCTTGCTTAAACTTAAACCACCACACTGAACTGCTGTTCTGACACCAGATGATATTTGCCTGTTACCTTCAGTGCAAGCAAAGGGTCCACTGAAATTGGATCATTCACTTAACAGGTAAAGTGAAATTCCCCAAGAGGACAAATACTAGTCTCCAAATAGGGCTGGGCACCTATAGACAGCTGGATGTGGCACTTTCATTTGTTCACGAGTTGGTCTCTCATCTTACATTTAGAAGCTGCACCTTGAAAAAACTAAGATCTGGTGACTGCCATTATCCATGCAAGTACAACGAGCTAGTCAATGCCATGAAGTTGGGAAGATATGTCTGCTGAGGTTCGGTCTGGCCATTGGTAAAACTTGACAAGCTCACCCTGCTGGCAGCAAGAAGCCTATCCTTTCCCACTACTGAGGCTGCTGTCTGTTTTTCCGTGGGTGACCTAACTCTTGCCTCAAACACTCAACTCTTTCTCCTTTTCTCACCCCTGGAAGACTGACCAGGCCTCAGTTCTTAGACTTAAAGTGAGCAGGGAAAGGCCACAAAAAGAAACAGCAGAGCTGGTGAGGTACCCAGCTTGGAGGTCTGCTCAGTGCGTTTTGGCTAGAAGAATGGACAGAACAGGGTGCTAGGGTGAGGGGTGGAGCATGAGTGTGAGAGAGCTCTAGAAAGAACAAAGGGGAAATCCCAGCCAGCTGGGCAAAGATGGCCCTTTTTCCTTTACCACCAGGCCTAGAGTGGTCTAGGCAGGGCAGGGTTTAGAACGGGAAGAGACCACAAGGCTAGTGGTCCCACAACTCCTGTCAAACTCATGGCAGGCACAGGGTCTAGAGAACACAGTGAATGTTCTGTCCTGACACAGGTTTTGAGAGCCACATCTTAGCCCCCAGAAAACAGACCTGGAGGCTTAGGGCCAAGAGTAGAGTCATAGTGATAGCAAACCTTTGCTGAAAGGTACTATTTGAAGTGCTTTAGATGTATTAACATATTTAATCCTCAAGCTATCATCATGTCCATTGTGTAGAAGAGGTAATAATTAGGAGGTTCACACAGGAATGCAAAGTTCTGGAGGCAGTGCCGCGGGCATGGGGTTATGAGTACGGGCTCTATAGTCAGGCTTCCTGCTCCGGCCCTGACTGCTGTGTGACTATGGGCAACTCTAGTGACTTTGCTGTGCCTGAATCTTCTCAGCTTTAAAGGGAATGATAACAGCTCCTGTCTCCGAGGATTAAAATGAGAAAAGGCAAGTTAAAAACTGGGTTACGTGCCTGGCCCACAGGCACTGCCTGGCACTGGCTGGGGAGACAGCTCTTGGCAGCAATAGCATCCCATTCGGGGAGTCCAGCCTTACACCTCTGCAGTTGAAGGCCACCTGAGCCCCTCCTAGCCTCAGGGAGCTTAGCTACTTGGTCTTTTCTCCTGACCACTTTCTCCAACTCCACCCAGGTAATTAGTTGGGCGTGATTTTTCTATAACCTCAATTATTAAGGATTCTCCTTCGGAGCCAACTGATCCGGCTCTGAGGGCACATAGTCAGGCTACAAATGTACCCCATTGAAGACATAAAAAAACCCAAAGAGCTCATCATGTTAGATGGGGACATGTCACCAGGCTGAGGACCTTGCCTGCTAGGGTAAGAATTCCAGTGCCGATGCTGGTGGTCCACTGAGCCAGCTGCACAGATCCATGAAAACGGATGGCAACAGGCCTATAACAGAATCAAACCTAAGTGCTCCTGACCTGCAGACAAGGGCCTGCCGCTCACCCTGGCCATCCCCACGGAAGCTCTGCTTGCTGTGTGCATCCATCAAAGGACCAATTCCCTGGGGTGAAGTTCTCTGCTTGGCTATGCTTCATGAGACCTGGATGAAAAAGACAAGGTCTCTATCCTTTGGTGTCTGCCACAGTCATGCTCATCTAGGGCCCTCAGTAAAGAGGGCAGTGGACAGGTGTTTCTCTTGGGCCAGGTCCCTGGTCAAGCACTTTACGGCCATCTCCTCCTTGGCTTCTTTACAGAAGTGGGAGATGGAAGTGCTGAGGACATTCAGGAAGAAGCTTTGTGGAAGGGGTGGTGCCTGAGCCTCAGGAGCTGTAAGAGTGTGATAGGAAGGAAAAAGTGGAAAGGGAAGGCCAGGTGCAGGGAACAGCTGGAGTAAAGGCCAAGAACACAGAGTGGGCCAGGAGCTGCAAGCACTTCCGGGTTATAGAAATCAGTCTAAGGAAGTAGACGGAGGCAGGTTATGGGCCTCTGGACATTTCTGAGCAACTATGAAACCTGATCAGGTCTCTGTTAGAGCAAAATGATAGTTAGAATAATATATGGTTTATTGGTGGAAACCAGTCTAAGAGTCAACTATACGAGTTCAGACAAAGAATAAAGAGGGCCTGAACGTGGGCAGGAATGACAGCAAATGGGAAGGAGAGACCATGACAGACAGTATTCTGGCAGACATCATTGATCCCTGCTTCTTGGTATTCACACCTTCATGTAATCCCCTCCTGGTATTCAGACCTTCACACTTGCATCTAATGAATGGAATACGGAAAAAGTGATGGGATATCACTTTTAAGACTAGGTTATAAGAACTCTAACTTCTGATTTGTTGGCACTCCCCCTGCCTCTCTTGCTGGCATAGTTCTCTCTTGCTCACACAGATAAAGCCGGCTGCCATATTGTGAGATGCTCTAGAAAGAGGCCCCTATGGCAAGGAACCATGGGAGGCCTCTGGCCAACAGCTCATGAGGAACTGAGACCTCACTCCAACAACCTGCAAGGAACAGCTTCATGGCAACAGCCATGGGAGTGAGCCTGGAAGCAGATCCTACCCAGTTGATCCTTGAGATGACTACATACAGCCTTACAAGAGACTCAGAGGCAGAAAACCCAGCTAAGCCCTGGCAGGATTCCCACCCACAGAAACTGTGAGGTAATATACATGTTGTTGTAAGTAGAATTCTTGGAGTAATTTTGTACACCGCTATAGGTAATTAATACAGGTAGGAATCAAAACAACGAAAAGTGGGAACTGTGATCAACACCACCCAGGCAGAATCGGTTGAATTTAGTGACTGCTAAGACTGTAGAAGAGGAGGGAGAAAGAGAAGTCACAGTAATTTGGAGGAAAGCACAGGCTCCGGAGCGAGACTGCCTGGCTTCAAGTTCCTGCTCTGCCCCTTGCTAACTGTGTGACTCTGGGCAAGTCATTTCAGCTCTCCGAACCTTTGTTTCTTCAGGTGTAAAATGGAGATGGTAAAAAAGAGTAACTACCTTTTGTGCATCTGTCCTTTCCATTTAGGACCTGTTTCAGCATCCAGCGCAGTGGCAAACAGCACACTGGAGCTGCTCAGCAGAAGTGTGCTGTGGCATTTCTAGAAGGCTCAGTGTGAAGCCTTATGCCAGCAGGGACAAGATTGAAATGTTTCAGTGCAATTACCTTGCATCCTACGAAGACTTCACTGGTCCTGTGTGAGGGAACATGCTCCATGGCCCAGTGCAGGGGAAGGCAGTTCTGTGCGATTGTGACTTGTGTCCCCTGGTTCCTTCCCCTGGCAGCACCTGTGGGTGCAGTTTTCCTCCTGCACAGGAACTGAAACCATAACCTTGGCCTCATTAATACTGTGCTTTAACCACGCAGAATTAGCTGGCTTAAACAGACTTTTCCAGAGTCAAGCCCAGCCTCAGAGAGGACTAGAGCCTGGATTTGCCTCCAAAGCCAGGTATCAATAGCACGAGACACGGTTCTTATTTCTAAAAGCAAGGAACCCAACCAGATAAAAGACTGTCTTACCTGTCTGGGCAGAGGAGGCATGGACTGCGAGGCTGCCGATCGCTGAAAGCGCTGGGGCTGCTGCATCATCTGCTGCAGAAGGAACGGAGAACGCTCAGGCGGCTGCTGCTGCAGCTGCAAGGTGGCCGTGGCAGTGGAGGAGGCAGTGGCAGAGGAGCCCTGTGTTGGCATCGGCTGCTGCAGGTAGTAGAGCAGGGAAGGCTGCCGAGAGGTGGCAGGCATGGAGGGCATCTTCTGGGGGCCCGGCTCAGAAACGAAATGTGACAAGGGCTTGGTGTTGCCAAAAGTAAATGGCTCTGGCGCTCCTGGGCTGGGGCCGGCTAGCCCTTGCTGCATGATAACACTCAGGTTCTTGGGTGAGTTGGTGACCATGGGCTTGAAGATGGCATTTGTTGGCTGTTGCTGCTGCTGCTGCTGCTGCTGCTGGCTTAGCGGATTACTGTTGGGAGTGAGGCTGCTGATTAAGGAGCACTGCGGAGTGAAGGACTGCTGCGGCAAGCCTGGGCTGGAGAGCTTCTCTGGGCGGTAGGGTGGGGAGGGCCCCAGGCTGCTGGTGGGCAGAGCAGACATCAGGTGGCCCTGAGGGCTTTTGATGGTAGAGGATACCAGGTTGGCAAGAATTGAGCTCTGTGGGCTGAACTGCGGCTGTTGATTGACAGCTGGGCTGGGGAGCTTCTCAGGAGCATAGGGCATGGTGGGCCCAAGGGCAGCATTGCTGCTGGATGCCATGCTTGAGACTAAGGCATTGGGAGAAGCTTGGAGAACACTCCCCGGCAGGTTGCTGGATGACATGCAGGATACCATGAGGCTCTGTGAGCCGAATGACGGCGGCGGGTGTGGCGATGGCACTGGGCCGTAAGTTGGGGAGAGGCCTGGAGGAGGCAGGGCAGACCAACTGGAGGTGGACCCTGGCTGCTTCGTGGCAGATCCCTGCTTGCTGGCCGCCAACACCTTCAGCTGGTGGGCATGATGCCACTGAGGCACCGGGAGCGGGGGCAAAGCCACAGGGTGCATCACCTGGACCTGGCTCTTAGACTGCGTTGTCGCACAGCTGGGTGAGACCATCTGCTTACTGGTGGAGGGAATTGAATAGTTGATCCCTGCAGATGAGAGCGGGACTTGAAGTGACATGCCAGTGACCTGGCTGCAACCAGAAGCAAACTCCTTGCTGGATCCAAGACTCTCCAATGGTGGCATCTGAGCTGAAGGCTTACGAGTTGTGCCCAGGGTTGCCTGAGGATGATCTAGGGCCAATGGTTCTGCTGGCTTGCTCCCCAGGATCTTCTCCAGATCTAGCTCATTCGGAGAAGGGTCTTGAATTTTTGTTAGCTCCTCCAGTAGTTCTTGAAGTTCCTGGTCCACAGCTGGCACACTATTGGTTTTATCATAGTAAGGAACAGTAGGCCCTTTCAGTCCCATTTCTGTGGTCGGTGGTACCACAAATGGTGAGCCCATTACACTGCTGTTCATGGGATTATTTTCGAGTAGTAATGAATGATGGCCCGCTACTCCCATGGCCGTAGGGTTAGGGTTCATTGTCAGTGGAGGAACCTGCAGCTCTGCACAAGGCATGCTGGGATGGCTGGGATGGCTGGGATGGCTGGGATGGCTGGGATGGCTGGGATGGGCACCTGTGCCCATAGAAAGGGTGACATCTTCAAGGCAAGGCCTCTTGATTTTATTAGGGTAACCCCCGTCAGCCATGCCTGGAAACTGGAAGTTGTCTCCTTCCTGCCTCCTCTTAATGGCTCCCTATGAGAGAGAAAGAGAGAGAGAGAGAGAGAGGATTTTTTAATAAAGGCTTGGCACATTAAAGTTAATGAACAGGAAACTTGTAAGATAAAACAAATATCTCAGTTTTAAGACATAATTATCAAAACTATATCATATAACCTATCTTTGGAACCATAATGCTTGTTTCTTTATTGTGTTTCATTGAAACTGTCTTATTACATTTCAAATAAGCCATTATGTTATCTGTATACTAAACATGACAGAAAGCATATTCTTTGCCCACTTAAACGAGAGTTCAATGAAACTATGCAGAAGTCACTAGATGAACTGTGCTGCCAAAAGCAGACATTTCAGAGCAAACTAGAAGTAGCTAAGATATTTTCGATTCCTGCCTATCTACAGATACCCAGATTTTTTAAAACGAAAAGCATAACACAGACACAGAACTTTTAGGTTGCCTCCCTGTCTTCGTTAAATGCATCAGGCTGCGGTGATAAAGGAATACAACAGAGCTTTTAGAGGAATGAAGTAGATCTGGGTGTGTTGTTTTGGGCGGCTGTCTAAGACACACTGTTAAGAGGAAAGCACAAGTTGCAGAACAGTCATTTAAGCATGATTCCATTTATTTTTACACACAAACACATAAACACACACACACACATTGCCATGAGCTTACAAAAATAACTTAAGAACATATATGCAATTTCCTTTCTGTTCTCTATATTTTTGTATAGCTTGTTTTTAATGAGAATGACCTGTAAAGCAAAAA